AAGTTAACCAATGAAGCGGAACCGTATAGATGGGCACCAAATCGGACACCTATTGTTTCTAAATTTCGAATTTTACAGATTTTCTAAGAGAAAATAAAATAAATGACTGACACGCCGTAAAAGAAAACCAAGATTGACTGCGTGCGTGACTATCATCTTGTCAACTATAAATCTTCGCATTTTTTATTTTTTAAAATGAAATGTATTGGAACGGATTGGGGTTCTCGTAAATAAACGATCGATCTGAAACTCGAGTTCACGATGTTCTTAGCGCTACGATGCTTTCGGGAAACCCAACCCAGAACTGTTTCAAACGTGATCAAGAAATGGAAATGTTACCACAGAAAAAGAATCAGCTTTTAAAAGAAGTATTTAAGAAGCGAGTAAACTAATTTAGTTAAGAATTAAGAAAATACACCTTTTTATAATTACAATGCATAACTCTGGTTCAAGTAAGATTTAAAAACAAATCAGTTGTTCATCTCTTTTTAACCCTAAAATGTGAAACAAGATTCTGTGCGTCAGGCTGATCTTTGCATAACTAAGAGAGAGCATTGCAACACCTCATCAGGGACGTGATGAGTAGCTGTTTATTACATTGCAAGATGGGACTTGTACTAGATGTTGAAGTACAGTGCTGTAACTCATTACAGTGGGGTTTTTTTTTTACTTTTTCTCTTAAAATCAACTACCCTTCAGCACTCGATATATAGAGTTCTTACTTCTTACAGAATCAATACAAATGAATACGAAATTCTGTTTCAAAATAGAAATGCCACTTACCTGTAAATAGGTCCAAATGTGTTAAAATTGTCAAGCATAATTCCGTGAATGTTCTTAAATCCATCTAACTTCCAGAAGTTGTACAAGTTAACCAATCCATTCTTCCAGTTTCCAGGAATCTCACTAAAGGGTTTGACTTTCTTGTGCAGCTCTGGAGAGGTGGGCTGTGTAGATATGGCCATACTGGCACTGTAGCACCTTCTGTAAAAAGGTGCACCTGCAGCTCTGATGACAGCAAGGCTGGGTGAAACTGCACAGTGCCAGCAGGGCTTCACCATCATCATCAGGCTCTATCTTCTTATTACTGGGACTACTATGGCTCAATAGAAGTGGGCTGTTTATATACTGCCCTCACGGTTCAAGCTTCAAGGCCTTCCAAAGACAGTCAAATATTTAGGATTTAACCCCTTCTATTCCTCTTATTCTAATCAGAATGGTCCTGGAGTAACTTTGTCTCTTTAGGGTTAAATATCACCAATTGCTGTACTGACGGGCAATACACAGATCAGAGCAATCCTTGAAGATGAACCACGTTGTCTTTCTAAACAACTGCACATGTATGATAAGGGTTTAAGAGGTAAATATCATTAGACCAGGAGATCTCATATTCTGCTCCTAGAGGGCCTTCGTAACTTCTGGGTTTTGTTCCAACCTGAGTGGACAATTGAAACCGTTATCACAATTATTTGTAGGTAGTCAAACATTCACTTCTTTAAAGGTACGCTGCAGAGCCCGGTTAGAAGTTTTAAGTATTAATCACAGTTAAATAATTATACTTATAGCTCAAGTGGGATACAGTAGACTCCACACCGTTGTGTGGGAAAAGTAGACACTCCCAGTCAAGTTGCATTTCACTGAATCTCAAAGTAAAAAAGAAGTTGACACGACCTCTGTGAACTTGGCACATGCAAACGTTTGGGCTCCCTAAGTACAACCAGTTCTTAGTAACACCTCCATTGGCAGAAATCGCAGCTTCCAAACATATCCTGCAGCCAGATTAGAGTGTTCTGTTCTTGCTTTTGGATTTTTTTCCCCAACTCTTCCTTGCAGAACTCTTCTAGCTCAGACATATTCTTAGGTCTTCTCCCTTTAACTTCCATTTCTTAATGATGTTTCTGACAGTTGAAATTGCAAGCTGGAAGCATTCAATGGTCTTCATAGGCTTCTCCTGCTTTGTAAGAGTGAACTATATGTTTAAAGTCCTCGGACAGCTGCTTAGAGAAACCCACTGTTGTTGAAAGAAGGCAGAACAACAATCACAACCTCAGAGTATTTGCTGAACACCGTCTTCACATGACTTCACGTAAAGCCTAAAGTCAGTTTGGGGCTTTTGAAAAACACAAATGAAAAAAGTAGTAATGAATCAACAGGAAAGTTGCCCAAATTTTTTCGCATGCCATATTCACTTTTTTTTTCCCCAATCTGTTAACATCTGCAAATAAACAGTAATTTTGCATGACAATTTACAGAAAGATCTTGTGTTTAACTTTGTACCCTGTAGATGTTGTGTCATCTTCTGATATTCATTGAAGCACAATTTAACCAGGGGTGCCTAAACATTTGCACACAATTTGAATTAAGCTCTTCAAATGCAGAGTTTGAGACAGTTTTGTAGCAATGTTATCCCTTATATTCAACAGGATTTTATAAGCTGTACGTAAATGCGAGAGGATCTATATATATGCAGGTATTCCATATGGATCAAAACATAAATTCTAAAATGTCTTTATCTTCTAAAAGGACAGGGGATAGTTTTAAAGAATTAGAAATATTCCAGGCATAATACACGCAATGATGTACCATATGAATAATCTAATGTACAAGAATCTCACTGATACAAGAAACTCAAATGAATAGTAGCAGAATTATACAATACCTAGAGGCTTTAAAAACATTTACTATAATACAGTCTTGCACAAAATAAAGATTATTACAGTGTATGTTAAACATTTTAAAAACGTATACTTCATCATAATTTCACAGAAAACATTGAAAGAGTCAACATTACTGAATTAAATTAAAATTATTTGAAAAGGCAAAATAAAAAAAGCAAAGCTGCAATGACAGTGCTCGTACCCGTGTGAAGCAGGACCCCTGGGCTGTGGAAAGATCCCAAACGCAGACAGAGCGAGCAAACAAACAAGGAACGCAAGATCGGAACCGAGAAATTACCAGAGACGAGATCAGAATCCAGACGTCTTAGGGAATGAAACTCTAAGGCTGAGCCCAGAGTACTGCAAATGTAATGTAGTACGTGGTCTTTAATGTACACCTCTGCACGACACAGGTGGTTTGGCTAATCGCTCGCAGCTGGGGTAGAACTGATCTCATGCCAGAGTGCGTTGTCACAGCAGGCAGCTGACTGGCAGCCCCACAAGTCTTAACACCCTCAATAGTTGCAGCCATTAAACAAAAGCATCTTTATAGCATAATCAGAAAACATCAGAGGAAATGCATCTAAAACATTTAGCTGATGCTTCAAGTAATCTTTTTTACCCGCTTTATTCTAACTGCAGGTGTCAGTCCTATTCTAAAACTACGGTACAACTGAAAACAATAACAATAAGGCAGTCGAACGAAACTGTGCCTCCTCATCAAGCAAAAATTGTCACCCATTACATACTATCTTGTGAGTTAAAAAAAAATAAATATAACTACTTTAAAACTATGATCACATAATAATATGCTTGGTCTAATCCACAGATCCAGACTCTACCCTTTCTCTCTTGCTTGGATTTTTGTTTTGCTGACAATGGTTATTTCTTTTTCTATGTAGTTATATTTTAAAAACAGTGGAGATTACTAATAAGCTGCCTTGCACTTCACAAAGCTGTACAAGTTTTACTTGGTGGTCAAGACAAGGGAAGGTTTGGGGTTTCTCTTTTCCTTTCCTGTTGTCTTATCTCCTTAATGACTTCCTCCAGCTTCATGGCCACTTTCAAGTCCCCCTGAACTGCCAGCCTGCCGCTAGTGTAGGCAGCGAAAGGGCGCAGGCTGCCCTCGAACATTGCCAACAGGTCCTCCTCACTCATCTGCAGAACGATGTCAGGAATCCGATCGGGAACGCCTGCTCCAGCCCGGCCTGAACCTGGACAACAAGCAGGAGGACAAAGGCAATGACTCCTTATGTGAAAATTCCTAGCTGACGAATCCCAGCCCTAAACTCAGTGGCCATTGTGTGTTGCTGCCTGGGGGTGACTGCTGACTAGTGAGATGATCCGGAGTCGAACCCAAGACTCTGGAGCTCAACCTGTACTCAGGCAAGTGCCTTTATTGGGAGAGACGCACTGAGCCATGTAAGCTAAGAAATATTCCCTTCAATACTGTAAAAACAATCACATTATAGCATGTCTTGCTTTTGCAGAGTTAGGAAACATCACCGTTCACCTTTCCTCCCGGAGACCCCCAGCAAAACAACAAAACACAGAGCTGGACCAATCAGAACTGTCAACAAGGACCGAGAACAACTAACCCCATATTAGGAAGTTTGTGATGGTTCTTGACATCTTCCCTGAAGGGAAAAGTAAGGGTTTTGTCTGCTCTTTATTTTCAGTGTTAATCTTCACTTTGAAGAATTTCAAAACAACGACCTCAAGTGTTTGCTGCCCTTCACTGTGCAAAACACATGATGTTTTTGGGGAGCAGCTGCACGTTTCTGCAGTCTCGCACCTGAAGTCTCACCTTTACTCAGATCAACAAAATAGCACGTCTCCAGCCCATCACGCAGACGGATGTTGAACTGGAAACAGGCCCCAACCTGGCTGACAAGCCTCTCGGAAAGAAGACTTTTCACAGTAGCCAGCAGCTCATCAGCGCTGCAATGCTTTTCTCTGGCAGGAACAACAGGTCTCTTCTCATCCACAAAGCTAACTGTGTCTCCTGTAGGATGACAGAGATGACTTACTGCCCCAGAGATCTCTTTTACAAAAATGGAACTTGAAAACAATGTGGCCTGAGTGGTAGACAGATTGGAATCAAGTTAGGCAGTTTTTTACATAAATAGGTTTTTTAAAAATCATATGGGCCAATGCTTCATAAAAACTGGTTTGTACAGGTACACTGACTTTATGTTTATTTGCACACGAGTCAGCCAAAACTGGTCAGCCAGCTTCCCCTGCTTTAGACTGGAAGTATTTCATTAACCTTCTGGTACACCAACATGACAGGTCGCTAGACATGACAATACAATGAGATTAAAAGGTGTCCTCTCTGCCCCCCGCCTTTCTCCCAAATGCATTAGAATTATATTTCATTCAGAGACTCCAACCTCTGCATTTCAGTCAAGAACGTAACAGAGGTAGAAAACAAAACCAAAACCTGAAATGCTGAGAGAAACATAGAGAAGCATTCAATGACCTTTGCTGTGAGAGGGCATGGACACTCCACTGCTGCCAAGAAAATGCATAGCCAGCTGCTGAATGGGGCCCGTCAGCCCTTCCAGTCCCGGCACAGAGGGAGGCAGGACCAGGGGTCCCAGAGGCGAGTTCTCAGGGGTCTTCAACACAGACTCCACAGTCAGCTCCACGCGGTGCACCTCCAGCCCCCAGGGCCGCGTCTTCTCATTAATGTCTACCTGCAACACAGGAGGAGCGAGGGAGGTCTCTATGTGGCACAGCAAGGAAAAGTGACGGCTTTGATGATGATAACAATAATAATCATTTGTAGTAGTAGTAGTATTCCTCCTTACAGCCAAAGTCCCCACACATCAGCTCTCAGTGGGGAGGAGAGTAATGAAGCCAATTCAGAGATAGAGATTATTAGGAGGCCATGATGGGTAAAGGCCAGGGGGAAATTTGGCCAGGACACCATGGTAACAGCCCTACTCTTTTCCAGAAACACCCTGGGATTTTTAATGTCCACAGAGAGTCAGGGCATAACATCTTTTTTTACAAATTTGAATGCACCATTGGCATTTGTGTACAGTTTGGTAAATATTCAAAATAACAAAACAGTGAACTTGGCACATGCAAACGTTTGGGCTTCCTTAAGTACAACCAGTTCTTAGTAACACCTCCATTAGCAGAAATCGCAGCTTCCAAACATATCCTGCAGCCAGATTAGAGCGTTCTGTTCTTGCTTTTGGATTTTTTCCCCAACTCTTCCTTGCAGAACTCTTCTAGCTCAGACATATTCTTCGGTCTTCTCGCACGCACTTCATGTTTCAGATCTCCCCACAGAAGTTCGATAATATTCAAGTCTGGGGACCATGAAGGCCCTTGTAAATCCTTAGTCTTTCATTCCTGCAAGTAATTTATGGTTGATTTTGAGTTATGTTGCGGGATTGCTGTCATGCAGAAATATTAAACGTCTTTTAATCAAACGTATCAGACAAATCAAAAAAACAGATATGCCAACTAAGAACAAATGGGCGGTTTACAGTTACAGCCTGGCCAACAGGCTGACACCCCTGTGGCACAGAAGACACAGCAGCAACAGAATAAGAATAGTCAGTAAAAAGTAAAGGACAACACCAGGGCACAATAGCTTTACCAGCTGCAAGTATCATGCAGAAAAGACAATCATTTAACCAAGAACACCTCATATTTGAAGGGGGCCAGTTTCAGCTCACTCTGGAAATTGTTCCCGTCATTGACAGCAGCAAACTGAAATGCCTTGAGTCAGTGGTGGCTTTTGGGAGGTTCAGTGTGATACAAGTACTGTACTGTACCGTGAATTGGAGGATGGTACAGAAGACTGGAGCAGAGTAAGAAAGGAAGGTGTGTAAAGGAGCCAAAAAAGACGATAACCACTATGATTTACCTGAGAAACGGAAGAGCTACTGTGAAGGGGGAGTAAAACGTTCTCAATTCAATGTGGAAGCACACAGCAGCACCGCTTATCACAGTGGCTGATTGAAAGTACAGAACGTGCGGCTACCTGCAGATCCTCGCCCAGTCGGGTTCTTCCCAGCTGGATCTCCTGCACGGTCTTCTTGAGGAGGCGGTGGGTCATGGAGTTCTGGGCCGTCAGCCGCGTGGAGGCGTTCAAGTCCTGCACTGCCACCACGGACATCACCGGATTCCAGATCCGGAACTGGATGTCGGCTCCGACGGACACCAGCCCCCCGTCTTTGGTGGTCACCTGGTACGAGAGAGGCGACCAGCGGCAGGAGCCCCTTACTGTAGCTTGCAGGCAGACACGGCTATCGGCACAAGTTGGCAGCGCTGCAAGCAATGCGCACAAGGCAGGGTACACCTTGTACCTCAGTGCAGGGCAGGCACACCCTCACAGACGCACACACACTCACACCTAGGGCCAGTTTCCCCAGAAGCCAATTAACCTTCCCTCCAATGGGACAAAACCCATGTGAACGTTGGAAGAACATGCAAGCTCCACACAGATAGCGCCCCAGGTCTGTATTTGAACCCAGGGCCCCAGCTGGCCACCCATGTTTACAGCAATTCATCTCTAATTTCATTACCTCTTCGTACTTCGTAGCTTGTTATCTTTCGGATGTATATTTTCCATCTTAAGCCGAGCAGAGAGCCAGACTAACGAAGCCATGCCAGGAGCTATGTCTCCCTGGCTGTGCTCGGATCGGGGAGGGGGTGTGTACCTGGCAGGGTGGGATGTTGAAAGCTCTGGTCCGCAGGTCAACCCTCTGCCACTGCTCAATGAAGGGCAGGACCAAGACCACTCCAGGCCCTTTAGGGGGGCGAACCCGCCCCAGGCGGAACGCAACAATCCTCTCGTAATTGGGAACCACCTGTCGGGAGAAACAGGCCCATTGAGGTCCACCTGCTTGAAAAAGAAAGGAACAGCAAACCAGCTCCCAGTACCCATCTCGTTTGGACACTATATTGTAAAAAACGTGCTCTCCATCGGATGAGACGTAAAACCGAGGTCCTGACTCACTGTGGTCAATAAAAATCCCTGGGAGTTTCACAAAAACAATACGGGTGTTACCTGGCACCCTGGCCAAATTTTGATGTTTGGGTGTTTATCCCACTCTTAACTCAGACTGTGTCATAGTGTAATATTTTTTTCAGAAATTACATCATGACACAAATTGGCTCAGAACAGGAAAACGGTTCTGCAGGCCGGTACAGTTTTGTAGCAGATCACTGTTGTAGAATGTAAAGCAAAAAAGCCGCCTTACCTTGAGAACAAACCAAGCCGACACAGGGAATGTGACCACGGTAAAGACAAAAACCAGGAAAGTGACAATCAGGTGGCACACCCAAGAAAGCCAGCTCTGCGACCTGTCTGATCCAGGGAACAAAGACAGGGGACTGACGTCAAAATGAATCACAACAAGTACTGCTTCATCAGAACAAGATGTAAAAAGGAAATCAAGATTTTATTTATCAGCGTGAAATTAACGCGCGTTTCTTCCTTGGCAGCTCTCCCCTCTACAATTTTGTTTTTAGAAAACGGATTATCTCAGTATGATCTGGCAGAGAGAAGACTCGGGCATATTATACAAACCTTCCAGTAATAAACATTACTTTCATTTAGGGCGAAACGAACATAAATGATGGAAGGCTGGCGTTTAATATCACGTTGTGTTATTGCGTAGACCAGACAGTAATTTTCCGCACTACGTTAGAACCACTATAGCCGCGTCACCTACATTCCTCAGAGAAAGGATCTAGCAGAGAACTGTCGATGGGTATTGGTGGAAGATGTTTCTGTGATGAGCTACTACTCAGCACTTTGTATTTTTAGCTGGCTGTCATGTGAAACTGGAATTCAGGATAAATCACCTCTCTATTTAAGTACGGTTATCACCTGTAAAGTCGTTCTCTGAGATTCTGGGGACATAGTCGAAAGAGCTCCCTGCGTGGCTACACTGGACAATGCTCTCAGCAGAAACGTAGAGACCGGGACTGGACTGCAACACCGCGTCCTTCTGCGGCAGAGCACGGTACTCGTATCCCGAAGGCCTGCCAAACATTGTCCTGGTCGTGCTGGCGTTATTGCGGTGTCCCTCAGTGATCAGCGTGACTAGCCCCCTTTTTTAGAAGTTAAAACAGAAATGGGAAAAGCGGCGTCGCTACCCATTTGTGTTTTCTCGCTGCCTTAGACACAGCCCCGCCTTCCTTCTTATTTATTCTGACTCCCCACTACGCTCAGAAAGAAGAGAGCGCAACTACGGGAGGCCCTTACGTCTCCCCCTCGCTTACCAAGGGCTCCCTCAGCTGGACTGGATGCCTAATGATTTCAAGAAAAACTTTAACACCTGCCTGCCTGGAAACGGGGAAGCACGCTAGAAATCAGCCATTGCTTCGAATTTAAAACACCTGCCAGAGGCGCAGGGTCTAAGGCCAAAGTACAGACAGCATAGGGGCTCCCCGCTTCAGTAGTCTCTGACCCGCTTGCTTCCAGTTGCTACCTTACCTGATCCGCCCTGTGTTTACAAAGACCGCGAATAAGGTAACCATAACTGCACGATAGTTTATCGTTTCACAAATGCGCAGGAACAGACTACAGAGAGTCATCAAAATGATGCTTGCAGTCTGTCTCCACTTATGAATCAATTGTTAAGCTGGGGCAAATGTCTTCGTAGGTGGTTGC